TGAGCCAAGCTAATGCCACAGTTGGAAAGAAAATTACCACCATGATATCTATTTTGTTGACTTGTCTTTTGTACCTCTGCTCTGTGTAGATGTTCAGAGTGACTTGGTTGAACAGAGCCATCGTGTCGAGGAGTTATTTTTCCAGGCTGCGCTTGCTTTCATCTTGGTCATGTGATTCGGCATCGTTGAAGGTGTTGTGAGTGTCTTTGTTGTTGCTGAAGGTTACATCAATGTTCTTGGTGGCATGATGTAAGGTGTGCAGTGCGTCTTGTGTCCGTTGTTTCAATGTCGGTGTGTTGTTGTCGATGATATTGTGATTGAGGATAATGTGTGTCGTTGTAGGATCTATCGCATGCAGAGCCATCGTCCATGTCCATATCTAATTGCAAAGGAAGCTATCGATAAAGACTTCGTATGTGCGTGGAGAAAATGAGGTTAGAACAACTCAAATTCAACTTATTATCAAGAAACCATAGACAATAGCTTGCGCCTGCCTTCGAACTCCTTACTTTGAATAGTAAGCGCATCTTTCAATCTGAATCTGCTTAGGAGATCAAAAATCCTCAAATTGTTGTAGTTCTCGTGTCTTTGCCGTCTCTAGTCGCAGAACCACTTTGCTCAGTGTATCACAAAAGTGTTAGGATTGAACGATGATTTATCGTCTGAAACATGACATTCTTCACATTCAACTCATGCGCGTCGACAATGAGCTGGTCATGTCTGTGCTTCAATGCTTATAATGTGTGCAAGGTATTGATCTACTATCTCATTGATAAATATGGCAGTACACATATTGATTAAATCCTTTGTCATCATGTGAGTTGCTTTCAAATTCCTAGCCTTGTTAGTACGCGATACATTTGTCATAATGGAAAGCAAAAAAAGCTGATCTTCTCAAATTCAAATACAAGTGTTCATTTAAAAAAATGAAGAATTGTATACATTTAGTGTATATGAACCTTGATCTGAAACCTCAGAATTGACTCTCGCCGAGATTTATCTCATATTGATTTAAGTTAGTTCATCATGGTTCTAAAAGACTAGAATTCCTTCTCATGTCACTTTTACACATTCTCTTCATTCATCACTCAAGTTCATACACACATCGACAAGATAAGATTTAAGATACTAACTATCTCACTTTTTCATTGATGAAACATATCTCTATACATAAACTACTCAAATTTGCTTGAGAGTGTCTTCTCTATCTCTCTGGATATACTATTAAAAAAATTACCATAGTAACAAATGGCATCACGTTTCAATTCAATGTTCAAAGTCCCTACTGATGCAGGTGTACTAGAACTCTCATCATTGGTGACACTTTCCACTACGAGAACCAACACCACGATGTTTGTGACTGCAGATTTTCTAACCATCATCTGGTTGGAAGCTGCATGAACGGACGTGTTGAAAAATGATCAATTGTGATCCCAAGCTCAATTTGCCTTTCTAAGGTTTGTAAAGGAGTAATGAAAGTCTGTACTCGCGTCCTCAGCTTCATGAATCATGTGGATCACGAGAATACGTCACTTCTTGGAATAAAGTTTTCTCCTCAATGTACTTCAAGAAATCTCTTTAGCTATGAAGGATATAGGCAAGATCACACAATATTTGGGAGCTTTCAAGGTGAGCATGAAATCCTGACACTTTTTGTGTTACATTTAGATCTGTTTTCTATTGATTTGGTTTCAAATCCTGGATTGTTTTGAATTGAATCCTTTGGCCAGAGTTTGTATCAATATTGATGCTTCCTTCCAAAAAACATTCTTTGTGATCCATTGCTTCTGGAGCGGAGACAAATTTCCAACTTTCATTTTGACAACCTCGCAAACGATTTTGATTCATTGAGAGAACAGAGTGGAAGAGTACAACAACTATGACTTTTGAAAATTAGCGGCAACACATCAAAAAATGGTTGTAGCTATGATACTTACTATCCAACATCGCAGAATGCTTCAGGTGTGATCGATAAATTGCTTACTTGTTCTCATTGACTACAACTTAGTTCAGTATTTTATCATAGACATTTTTACCAGATCTTCAACCATTGCACCTTCGTTTCATTTCGAAGATGCAATTGCTTGTGATCACAGACACAATCTTAAAGCAGATCCTCATTGCATCAGATTTTTGAATTTTTTGAATTATTTTACTCGGTCGGACATGCTGCCCATGCTTGAATTCCTCGGAAATCATTGTCGATTTTTAACATCAACATCATAAAAAAGACTTGAACTTAATTGATCAGTTCAAACTTGATAATCAAGACGAGCAAACTAGAAGTTTCATCAACCGTCTATTAATCTATGAACAATGTTGTGTGAATGATAAAGAAATCAACTGTGTCAACGCATCAATCTGACACCAATTACTATTGTTAGATGAAACATGAGAATAGATACATCCACGAACAAGAAAATTGACGACAAGAAATTATGTGATTTGTCATGTTTTGGACTACATCCGGGGTAACAACAAGTTCTTCACTGAAAAAGTCTACAATTTTTTGAGCAAGTTGTGTCACACTCTCTCTCATATATTTGCAAGTTGAAAGCCTAGGATTAAAGCTAACTAGTATAACTAACAATAATATTGATTCAAATCAGATTAATTTGAGTTGAAACCAAGACTTGATTTAACTTTAACATTGGATATATAGTTATAGTTTGTAATGAACTTTATAATTAAAGATTAATCTTGCAAAATCTTAGCTTAGTCAATGATTGAAAATAAATATTTAATGTCGTCAAAAGTAGCAAACTTTTTTTATTTGTTTGTATATATTTATCAATGCTATGAGATTGTCAATCTTCATTGTAATAATCAAATTGCATCAAATCTTGTTTTAAATTAAATGATATACAATAGAATGAAACATATCAACAAAAAAATTATTTTATCAGAAATAATTGAACTAGGTAAAACTGATGATAAACTTCATTGAGCTTATGGATTAACAAAAAAAAGAACAAAAATTTTTAGAAAAAATTGTGTTACTTTGGAAATTTTACATGAGTATCACACTTATAGTTTAATATAAATTTGATAAATTTAGTAAATATTTACGTATTATTGTGTTTTGATTAAACTAATTTTTAATTAATTCTAATTAATAAAGAATGTACGATAAGATTTTATAAAAAATTTTCTTAGAGTATTCATTTAAATGATAGAGTTTGCGCTATTCAATACATGAATTAAGAGTGATATTGTCAGGAGTTAATTAAGATACTTTAGCAACACAACTTATACTTATCACATTTAGTTAGATTAATTAGACTGACATTATAAAAAGTAACTTCTGAAATCTTAAGATGAAACATTTATGGTTTTTTTCTGCTATTTTGTTTCCATGAACATAAGTTGTATTGATGAATCACATCATCACGTGTGCAATTCTGTTGACTATCTATCTATGAGTGCTTTCAATATTTTGAAAAGATTTATATATCATTTATATTCAACACATACTCAAAATATTAAATGATTCAAAAACTAAGATTCAAATTAAAATGATTGATTTTAAACTTAATTTAGTCATTTTTGCTAAAATGTAATAAAATTGTTGGCATCTAAAGTTGACAACAATTAAATTGAAATTTTATATCTAATGTGTATCTTAAATTGAAAATTAATTAAATAATGATAATAAAAAAAATCTATAAATTTATTTTTTCGAAAAAATTTATATTTTTTATTCAAAATGATATTGATAACTAGATAGAAAAATATATTTTTTGAATACGATGTTAATAAAAAACCAGTTAAATTGATAAATATCTGTTTCAGCTCTTTTTTCACAGCAAAAACCTATTTGATATAATATTGATTTCTTTTTCAACAATGATAATCATGTAAATATGATCTTCAAAATATACAGGTGAATCAAACAATCACACAAAAAGTTTTTATGAGAAGTCAGTTTTTATCAAATAAATATTCGAAATTTGTGTTGTTGTTATCAATAGATTTTTAAAACAAATCATTATATACACAGAAACATGAGGATGTAATTTCTTGTCTCAGATAACATAATCAGTATCTTTTATTTCATCTAATATATGTAAAAGATTTATATTGAATTAAGTATGATCAACATGTTGAAAGAAAAAAATAGGAGGTAGTAATTTCAAGGATTTTTTTCCAATAGATTTTTTTTTCAATAATTTTTTTGAATTATACAACCACATCTAATTTTCCAGTCAAATCTTTTTAGTATCTTCAATCTTCAAATTTTTTTCGTTAAATCTGTTTAAGAACATATCAGATTTGAGATAAAACATCTATTCAGATATAAACATCAAAGTCTACTACTTTGATTAACAACGCAGGATTGCTAATCTATAAAAATAATCAGTTAGAATTGCTGTTGTACACATACATCAATCTACTAACAACACTATCGGATCTCAAGTCACATCCACTGCGAACTAGGCAATGGACTCTAACGGTTGTCTGATACTATATCTTAGTATATACCCACTAAGGTAACTACTACACAAGTGTGTACTTCTTGTGATTTGATAATATAGTCTTTATTTGTGAATGATATATTGCAAAAAATCATATCTTTGACATATAGTAAATCACTGTACTAGAAATCAAAAGTGATCATCGAATCTGTAGTACATGTCAACTACTTACCGGACTAAGATAAATTGCTTTCATATTTTAAGATTGTTTAAATCAAGATACGTGGAGACATGTTGGTATATGAGCTTGTGCATCAAAGTATTCTGCGAGATACTAATTTCCACATGCTTGCCAGGAAGATTTATATGTGATTTGCAATTACATGGTCCGGTGTTTACAAATGACCAGTATCACCAAGACTTCTGTTCAAATGACAGTACAAATATTGATAATGAGCGTGGTTCACGTGCTGATGTATTATTACTCGCCTTACTTAACCCTATCCGGTTGTTACATGGCAATGGTTGCATGGTCTGTCACGCAATTTTCATCGAAGGTCAATTCCAGTGCAGTATGGTCCTAAACAAGTACTGGACGATGGGACTGTGCAACTGCACCAGCTGGTTCACTTTGTTATCCCGCCCAATACTTAATCTCAGGTCTTCCAAGTCCTGGAGTGTGTCTTGCTTGCTTTGACGCAGTGTAAGGAGATCATTATACAAACATCGTATACTATGCAAAGATCGATGCTCCCAGAATTCTCGGAAAATTCTTCGGGACTATTCGTTCCAGAGACTGCAGATGTTGATGAAGAGCCCCGACCGTACCTTCCTCGTGCAGCATCAATGCCATCTCTGAGTTCTCTTCTTTACGGTGATATGGTCGAACCATTGGCACCCACGGCCTCGTCTGAATCCCAGTTTGATAGGTTCACGTATGAAACTCAGGGAGGCATCGACCGGGACAGTGGCAGCGGAATGACTCTTCGCAGTCATTCCAATCGCCACCGTTCTGCTCATCCCCGAGGACGAACTAGTCGCCACGTTTATCCTCGAGTGAGAAAAAACCATGCTCCCTCTCTGGAAAAATTCTTCCACCAGATCTTTCGCTCATCTGGTGCAAAGAGCGGCTCCAACCTCGAAGTGAATCCACCGATTGCCTGTTCACATGCACAAATCCCTCGGGGCCTTCCCAAATTGGAATCATCGGAACTCGCTGAAGACTGTGATTTCGTGATGAACACTGGCATGCGTGATCGAGGCAAGGAGGTTATACTCGCGGAAGGAGCATCCAGGAGAACGGAAAACGCCATTCCTTCTCAGATCACAGCAAGTTCAAGTTTTTCTGACCCCGTTGATTCCGTTGCCGAAGAGCTCGCTAACAACTGTGCGATTGTGGATGCAAATCAGCTGCACGCTCTCCAACACGAGCCTACTTCCCAGGGAAAGCCTGACTTTGATGACTTTGAGATGGCATGAACTTTTAGGAGGCCATTGTTTCCATTGATGATACTGACCAAGTGGCAGTAAACTGTGTCAAGGAATATGCAAATCAGCTGCAGGCTCACCCATTTTATCTAGCATGATGGTTTCTTATTGAATCACCCTCTTTGTCGAGGAGGCAACTTGGTGATGTATATGGTTGCTCTAAATGTATTCCGCTAGGCGATCTGATCATGTTTCACTTTCTCCTAGATTTAGAGAAGCATGCTCTGTATTGTAATGCACTAAAATATTATTGAGAGCTCTGAGAAATTTTATGCCAAAATATGGATATAAGTGAGGTTTTCGTTCATGATTTTGAAGCTCGTTACTAGTCTGAAGGTGAGCAAGTTGTCCAACATCCGAGGGTCTTGATCCGCAATTTGACGTTTGCATAGGTGACAACACGCTTTCTACATCGTCCTTTCAACGTGGAAAATCGTCTGATTACGATACGAGAATTCTAACAGCACCGTCTCTCTATATCCAGGAGGCGTAATTCTCACAATCAGTGCTAAACATACGTGTGCACTGAGCTGAATAATCTTATTATGTCTTGGTTGTTTGTCTTTAATCGAAAGTCATTTTCTTTCGTCTCACGATGAGTGAGAATTGTTTCTGGTTATGAACGAATGATCATATGTTCTTCATATCCAATTCCATCGGACTGAAGTCACTGAGAGTTGTAGGAGTGAGATTCACCTTTACAAGGACCTGTTTAAATAAGAAGCGGAAAAATCAAAAAGCATCAGCATCTCATACATGTAGCAGGAAAGGAACTTCAACAACGTTGGATATTACCTGCTTCCTGCCCTACACCAAACATAAGCATCTGCGCAAAACTACGTTGATATTGAAGATGTTAAGCTCAAGTTGGACTTTGAAGAAAGCAATTGTAGTATGTAACAGCAGATACGAATAAAATCTGATCTCAGTATATTATCCTGTACATGATGATTCATACAATCTGATTGTTTTTTTAATTCATTAGTTTACATGAAAACGTTGTAATTACGAATGTTTTTTTATAGAAAACAAATGAAAGTCAGTTGGCATGTTGTAGAATATGCGACTTGAATCTGGTGGCATTAAAGTTGCAAATGACTCAACAACCTTTCTATTTGCAACGGCGGAAGTACTTTATAACACGGACTTGTTTGAATATGTTTCTTGTACCTACAATATTCATCCCAGTCAGCTCTAGATCTAGCATCAGATCTTTACTCTAAGCTCCCTCCATTGATGTCAACTTGGTTATCCTTGACATCGTCGAAACAATCTTCCGATTCAAAACCTTGTAGAAACAGAATAAAAGCCAAAAAAATTTAAAGTCCCAAACGATGTACCTTCATCTTAGCACCTTCACGATTGCACACACGTAGTATTAGATCTTAAGCCTCCATGATGCAATGTAGAAAAAGCGAGACAAGTATGTTGCAATTACGCGAGAGATAAAAGTTACCACTATATGAGCTCTACATATCAGCAAGTACATACAATTAAAGAATATATATAGAGAAATAGCAGGTTTTTGCCTTAATTATGAAAACACTTTGATCGTTGGACAACTTTGAGAAAATATCCTTCGGACCCTTCGGATCCTTCGGCCCAGAAAGTGGAAAAATCGAAACGAAAGAAAAGAAAACTCGACGTACAACAGAGAAAGGGAAGGGGAGGTTGAGAAGTAGTAGTAGGTGAGCCCGAGTGGATTTGCAAGTTGCTCGACTTGACCTTGGGATTTCACTGACAAGTGATGGATTGGACATAGCTTTGGACAACAGGGACCTGGCAACTGCTCCACTCCCTCCGTCTACCAGAGAACGCGCAATGGCTGAGGACACTACACATCGATCGCCGCGCTTGTAAATCCAATCTGCCGTGCGCCTGCTGTACAGCCCGTCTGCCATGGGCTACGTGTTTTGAGGTGGCTGAGTTGGGCCTGGGCCTGAGTGAGCTTTGCTCGATTTGATGTTACAGTAGGTTGTTGGAGCAGACATGGACGCCAAGGCTCTGGAGTATTTCAAGAGCTACCACGTGAAGATTTCCGGTCGTTGTCTTTGGTGACCACCCGTCTTCCGTTCGCCTCTGGCTGGCCGGTTCTTGTCAGTTTTTTTTCTTTATTTTTTCTCACCTTGTGTCGATACATCTCCCCTTCTGAAATGGAGGGTTTGGTGATCGGCGCCAGGTCATCGATATTGAACGTTCGACTGGGTGACGTGCTGACCTGATCTACTCTGAGGCCACATACAGGGAGACGAGATGCTCGACGATCTTATACCGATCGCAAGTCACGGACGCTACAGGTAAAGCTGCAGCAGTCTTCCCATGATCTTCTTCGTAGAGAAGATCGGTGTTAGAGTGGACGTTACTATCGACTTGCGGAGTTTCAGTTATTCTATTGATGTTTCACATTAGACATCAATCACCACTTCCAAGAAAACAGTTCATTTCTGGAATGCTGGGAAGTTTGTTGGTCAATGTTAAACGGACTTCAAACGGAAATTCTCGGGCTCCAAACTCTGAAGTACTGAATACATGTACACAGGTTTGCGAGATGGGCAGAACAGAGGTAAGGTTCATTGATTGTGATGTGACCTTAAACAAACTAAATCGTGACATCCGAACGATGGTCTTCCTACATTCAAAGTACCCAGTTTTAAATCGAAGATGATCATTACAGGGATTTAAATCAGGCATTCGGTGCTGATTTGGAGACGCGACAGATGAGAGTACAGAACATTCTCCAGTCTCTTAGAAGTTGTGATAAGTACACACCAAAACTACGAAATTGAGCACAAGATTGGCACTTGCAGATTGCAGAACGATAAGTACTAAGGTGTCATGAGGTGAATCGAACGGTATCATTTGCAAGTGCGCCTATTGACAGCACAGGAACGGGGACATCCACATAGGTCACCCAAAACTCATCCTCGATGCCTCTCCTGTAGGGGCATGTAAAAGCGAGAACATGATCTGCAGTGATTCATCTCCGAGGACAGTCGGCTATAAAATAGTCACTTTCATCATCGCGTGAATTGGAGGTTCAAAAGAGTCAAGTTGAGCACGTGAGAATCCCTCAGTTCAGAAGAATGCGCCTAAGAGTGTGCGTTAAAAAGCATGTGTATCTTTATTGACTAGAACGAATTTAATTATCAGTATAATACACCGGATCGGCTATTCCGAAGGCCAGGATGCTACAGAACTAATTTAGCTCATTACTCTCAGCTCGAGGGAGAGTCTAAAGAACCTAAATCTACGTAACTAACAGATCGTGCGGAATACTCGCGAACTAGAGAGGAAAATTCAGAGTGCGAATCATCCAGAAGAGAAGACGGCGACCCATACTCTTTGACTCTCCCTGCAAATTCCAGGCACAAGATCAGGAGTCTTTCCCAAGGCATGAGCACAATCAAATCACTCAAAGACATACTGAATATGCTTAGACGTACTGGAAGAGAGTATCTGTACCTGCATCGAGGACCAGGACCTTGTCCGCATCCATGACAGTAGGTATCCTGTGAGCAATGCTGATTACAGTGCAGTCATCGAATTCCTTTCTGATGATTTTCTGCATGACGGCATCGGTTTGGGAATCTACGGAGGCAGTTGCCTCATCCAGCACAAGAATTCTGCTACGCTTGAGAAGGACTCGACCGAGACAAAACAGTTGCCTCTGTCCCAAACTCCAATTTTCTCCGTTCTCGAGAACTGCGAAACAAGCATTGCTCACGTCATCGATGATCCAGTGCAGATTTTGGCTGCTGGGACGTACTTATAACGTTAGACAACGATTGCATGATAAGATTGCATGATAGGAAAGTACGTACCAGCGGAATCCAGCTTGTGAGTAAGTTGACGAACTGTGGCTCCAAGTTGACATTTCTCCAGGGCCTAGTACAATAAACAGTTCAGAATTAGCCCCGAACGCGAAGTAAGAGAGCAGACCAATTCTGGAACTGGACCGAGTGTAACTTTTTGAAACGATTTCAGCTGCACGAAATTTTCACTTACTTCCCAAATCTCCTCGTCTGTGTGCTTTTCTAACGGATCCAGATTGCTTCGCACTGTTCCGTCGAACAAGGTTGGATCTTGAGGAATGATGCTCAACCTCGAGCGCAAATCGTTCAGACCAAGAGTACTGATATCGATACCATCTATAATTGTCTGGCCTTCAGCTGCTTCAACAATTCTGAACAGAGCCAAGATGAGGGTGGACTTCCCACTCCCAGTTCTGCCCACGACTCCAACTTTGCTACCACCTTCGACGGTTATCGATATGCCTTTCAGGACCAGAGGTGTTTGTGGTCGATAACGCAGCTGGAATCATCACAATCAAGGTTCTATCAATGCGTCTGAGACGTCAGCTTCATCGACTTCGGTGAAATAGAAAACAGGTTCCAGTCTATCCAACAAGCTTTAGCAACCTTGAAGGATAAGGAGGCGAGCCTTGTACGCTAATAAGAAGATGAGGTTATGCCCAAACTTCTCAAATAATCCTCGAGATTTTCATATAAAAGGGGCACTTACCTTGAGATTTTTCATGACAATTGTGCCGGTTGTAGGCCAATTGGCGGCTGGCTTCGTTTCCTCAATCTCTAGTTCTGCTTCGTGTGGTAACTTTGTGTATTGCCCAATACGTTCAATAGAAACCATTTTATTCTCCAAATTGCAAAACATCCAGGCAGCAACAAAAAGCGACCCATTGAGATTCATCCCATATGTCAAGGATAATCCGACGAGTTCTGCAGTTACATCGCAACCGAAAGCTGAAGTCAGTAACGTAGATCACGACATTGCAGTTGCCAGACGCGCATACACAGGTGAGCTGGGTAAATATTACGACAACCTCTATTCCAAAAACGAAAGTAGCGAAAGAGAACATAATGAACTTGGAATTGGGATGGAATGTAATAACCCACCTGGTTTGATGAAGCCCAATGGAAGAGCCACTAGTACCAAACTAGAAATACAGAGAATGAATATTCCCATAAGTTCCATTCTCAATCCAACCCACTCAGTGGCTGCTTGACTGTGGAAGTCCATTCTGAGATTGGAATCAATTCGATCCACATTCAGCTGAATGAACCTGCTCTGCTGACCAAAGCAACGAATGGTGACAAACCCTGAAACACTCTCGGAAAAGTGATGAATAATAGGTGCCTTTGTGAGCGCGTCCACTCTTGTCAGCTCCCTGGACGTGGCGAAGTAATAAGTCTGCACGAAAAGTAATCACTTCAGACCTCGGATTCTCGTTAAGCAGTAGGTCCTCATCGAATGCAGGAGCAAAAATCGATTGATTACGGATCGTAGAGCGAACAATTCAGTCAGACCGTCTAATCCCTCAGAAGGATTCAGCTGCAAAAGCGTATTGATGTCCGACTAGAATGGAAGGAAGGACGGGACCTGCAATAAGAAAACGAGAGACCTCACAATACCTGGTATTTGTAGTAGATAATGGCGAGCGGTAACAGCAAGATCAATATTTCCTTGGTAGTCTTCACTGTTACGAATATAACACCCAAGAGTTGGAACCCAATAGCAAGAACTGCCCCACTGAACATAGGTACCATCACGTCTGTTGAAGCCTGATCGGTTGAAGACTGGTGCAAAACGAAAAACAGAGCGGAAGTAAGCAAAATCTCTTCTTCGTACTGAAACGGATTTGTTTCCACTAAGACCAGACACCTCAGGGGAATGAAGACAGAAGGTAAAAGTGCTAGTTTAGCATGTCCAAGCGAAAGACAAAGTACCAACTTTTTTGAGTCCCCAGTGATCTTACTCTGCTCAATATCCTCCCGGTTGGCGTTGTGTCGAAAAATGACATGGGAGCGCGGAACATGCACCGCAGCATTCCTAGATAGAAACTTTGAGCCGTCGTCAGACCCATAACCGCCACGAGTAATGTTCTGAACAGAACAAATACCCCGCAAGAAAGTGCCAGTACGCCATAAACAAAAATGAATTGTTTGGCTTGTTGGTCGTCAAGTTCCTTATCGGAAGATCCATAAGCTACCCAGTAGTCACCTCCTATTTGGAGAACTTGCCAGATGACTTGAACGATAAGCAGGAGTAACAATAAGAGACCACGATAAGACCTTGTGAAGTACATCCAGTAAACTGCAAATCCTACTTTTCCCGTCTCTCTTTCCTCCTCTTGTATAAGACGAGCTGAACCTTGCGCCTTCTCAGCCCTGACCTCTTGTTCTGAAAACTTTCTTGTTATATGTCTTTCCATTGAATGTCTCGCCATGGTATCCTGGCTCGGGAGTTCAAACGCTCCTCGCGGTACCGGAGACCCAACCATTGGAGGTGGTGGAAGGTAGAATTCTCTGTCGCCTTGATCATCAGCAAGTATAGGAGATTTCGGAGCTCCGTCCATAGATATACGCCTTGAAGTTCCGTCGATAGATATACGCCTTGCATTTCCGTCCATAGATATACGCCTTGCAGTTCCGTCCATAGATATACGCCTTGCAGTTCCGTCCATAGATATACGCCTTGCAGGGGCAGGTGGTAATTCAGGTTCTTCTGGTACAATCTCGTGTGAAGTGACTTTCTCCATGGCTTCATTATTGGCTTCCACCAATAATTCGAAGTCAGTCCCCCCAGTCAGAAGATCGTCGTATTTTCCTTGCTGGACGATTCTACCATCTCTCATCACCTGATTTAGGGCAGAGAAGCACACAGGTTGAGAAGATCTTTCTGCAGTCTATCGTCCAACGAAGAAAGATGAGCACTTTGTGATTTTTTACAGGGTGATAGCATTGGGCTTGTTACTCACCAGAATCTGATCAGCCACTGGCAAGAACTCAACTTGATGAGTGACCAGAACCACAGTCTTACCGTGCAAAGCTCCTACGATACACTCCTGCAATGGGAAGGAGGGCAATCGTTAGCTTCGCTCGAACAGAAGCCAACTACTAGTTGAAGCAGTCATTAAGGAAAGCAAGAAATTCACTAGTGAGCCCTCAAAAAGTACATCGATGCATTCCTGTTTCACATCCTACGCTGAAGGTAGATACAGGGTGGCTGTGGTAGATACCGACCCGGAACAACTCGGAGCCCGTATGCGCATCGACGGCACTAAAAACGTCATCGAGCAGGTAGATATCACAATCTTGATACACAGCACGAGCCAACTGAATGCGCTGTTTCTGCCCGCCGCTAAGATTCACACCTCGCTCTCCGATCTCAGTTTGATCACCAAATTCCATCTGAGCCAAATCCGTTTCCAGGGCACACTTCTTTATAACCCTTTGGTACAGAGCTCTATTCATGGATCGTCCAAACAGGATATTCTCCTCGATTGTCCCATTTTGGATCCACGCTTGCTGAGCTACATAAGCTGTGCTCCCGCTGATTCTCACCTGCTCAACATCCAAAACCAAGCATTCAATTTTGGTACTCGTCTCATGTTACAAAGCCTTGTTACAATTTTACAAAAAAGAGAAATGGATTGCACTTTGCAGCCCTTCCCACGAACATGAACCCGTACATGTATCTTACACACATCCTTTCAACACAGATGGAAATACATGAGTTGCCCTGCTCAGTGTTACTACCTACGTTTCCAAAATGAACGCCTCTAAACGATATTAATTTCCTGTTGATACAGAGTCCAGACTGTTTCAACTTCACTACGGAACAGCCTAATTGCACTCTGTGCCCCTGAACAGACCAACTGCAAGCACGAGGACTTCGGAGCAGCAAAATTAACGAACTGGATGACGATTGGAGAAACGTGGGAACTACATCTATCAAGACGCATTAGTCCTCGTCTCCCGAGATTATCCAGTAAGGATCCGAGATCGAGATGTAGAGCTGAAGGGGAAGTGTTTCTTACCGTCCCAGACACCTTCGGCATTTCTCCGAGCACCGCGCTTAGAATAGAGGTCTTTCCGGCCCCCACCTTACCGACGATTGCAACCAAAGAACCCCGTGGTACTTGCAGATTGATATCTTGCAAATTCGGTTCTTCCATATCATCGCTCCACTTGAAAGTTCCATTCACAACACTAATAGCCGTATCCTCCGCGTGAGGGATCCTCTCAATGGAGCCAGCCCTGAGTTCATCACTCCACATGAATCTCTCAAGACGTCCCAAAGAAATGCTAGCTTGTGACAGAGAGATGAGAGTTTGAGGGAAAACTCTCAAGGGTTCCTGCAGAATACGCACAGTCGCGATTGTCGTGAAGGCTACGCTGGCAGTCAAACCTCCTCCCATTATCACCATACACGAGAAGATGGCTACACAAGCAGCCAAGGGAGTGAGCCACAGAGTGAAAATGTTGAATGCTGTAATATACATGTACCCAGACACTGCCTTGTACTCCGCCAGGCGGCTACTCTCCACGTTGTCCTGGAACTTTTTATCCCAAGCTTGGAGCTTGATGATCTTCATGTTACTGAGAGCCTCCACTGTCGCTCTCATTCTCGAATCCCTTCCCTTCATGACAGCTCCCTGATAGGCTTTCAGCCACTTAGCTCCCCAGAGAGTCAGAGCGGTGGTGAAGCACATGACGAGGAGTCCTGGCACAGTCGCAACACCTACGAAGTAAAAGAGTATACACAGCGCCAGGATGACCTGCCCCGGCACTATCCATATATTGTGAAGTTGAATCACTACATCGTTCATCTGCTGAACGTCTACCGACATGTAATTTACAATCTGTCCCACGCCGTGAGACTGCCGAGCATAGCTCGAGATTCGGATACCTTTCCGATATACTGTTGAGATGAGCGCTGATCTCACTTTCATGCCCAGTCTAGAACACTGAAAATTGTACTGATGGGATGAGATCACCTCTGTGGACTTCGCTAGAAACAGAGCCAGAACTAAAACGTAACCTTCGTACTTGAATGCCGCCTCTCCAGAAGTAACCTTGACGAAACTTTGGATCAGTACTGGACCCACGAACATCACGGAAAGTCTCAGCAGAGCTATTACACCGATGCGCACAAATGGCTTCCAAAATGTTCGGGCCAGTGTGCGCCTGACCGAATTTGGCTCCTGCACCTTGGGCCAATTCGCACTGAAGTCATCGTACAGTTTCGAAGCTCTGTCTTCGGGCACCAGCAAAGGGACGTCTTCCTTTACCAGACTTTTCTTCCAGCCCTTGTCCAACAGCGAGCTCAGCCAATAAATAAAGAGTCTGCTGAAGAATCCCGCTTTGGCAAAATCAGTGACCGGTGCATCTCGCAGAGACTTATCGATGTACTCATCGTACTGCAGCAAAGGCTCTTGAAGCGATCCGTTTCGATGAGACGAAGATTCTTGGGGCGTCTCGTGCTCCTGGTCTAACAGAGCATCGTCTTCGCCATCGTCATGTATCAGGAGCGGCTGATGGAGCCCGTTCATCGTGTTGCTCGGCTGCTTGCTTGCTTCACTTGCCAGTCGTGGAAGACTGCTTCAGTTCATTAAAAACAAGGATCTAATATCCTTCAATTTCGTAATCGAATTCCCGCACGTCGCCACAAGCTCTCAACCTTATGTTGTCGGCATCTCTGCAATTCCCGCATATTCAGAGAGTCAGTGCAGTCACGCGCGAGGGAGAGAGCAGACTATGCTGAAGAAATACAAACTGTCAGTGAGAATCCACTAAATGTTGAGGAGTTCTGAGAAATCCTTCGCCCGTGAAGCTGCCCGCAGCTAGCCTCCACTATTCTGAACGATTCTATTTAAGCTCCTTCCGTTGTCACTCCGTTCGCTCCAACTCGTCGAACGTTTTGACACGACACGACTGAACTCGGTGGTTGACTGGTTGCGAGCACCAGAGGTCGCATACAGCTCTCGCATTCGGCTTACCGATCTGTGCAAGGCGTCGACGAATGCCGATTCCGAATCGACAATTCTGTTTCTAATCGCGGTTCATACTTCACGAGTGCAGGTCGAATCTCCACGCGCGGGAGCAGTAGACTTTGCCTCCCTCGCCTCACTCACTCTATCTACGCTTGCAGCAGACGTGTATGTACAAGTCATTCCCCATGTCTGTCAGTCAGTCAGTCTCAATCTCATCCCAACCACGAGACTTTCAGCTCCTAACTTGAGAGGGAGACGGTTCGGCCTCACATCGAAGGTCAGCAGTGAATCTTACCTGCTGTAACTTGCAACATGTGTATAATTGGAATAGAACATTTCAATTATAGTTCCGCCTTAACTACACTCCTCCCTCTCTCTGGCTTTGGCTGAGTGTACGTGGACGAAGACTCTCTCTCGCTGGTTGAGTGTTGAGTGATATCTACAGGGACGACTGATATCCAAGAGAGACTGACACGTCAGGTTCAAGGGCAGATGTAATATTCTCGAGCTCACGGGCTCTCGTATGGAGGAGCGGAGGTGACTGCACAGGTCTCTAAGAGAAGCTGCGAGGTCTATGGAATTCGGGTCCGAGGACGTGCACGCCCTCGCAATATCGGTGAAACTGCGGCCTTGGAAGGTCGATAGCAGTGATGGAATGGAACTCGGGGGGAGTGGGAGTCTTCATATCTAGCATGAGGACGAGAGAGATGGGATAGAGTGCATGAATCGCAGAAGAGGAGGCGTGAGGAGAAAGAATGCTCATCGTCACGTCGAGGTCGTTTCGCGTTCGGTTGGATCGCTCGGACATCGCCCTTGTTCGCAGACAGGAGGAGATGTGGAATTTGGACGACGAGGAGGAGAGGTCTGGAGAGGCGAGGGCACGTGTGCCGGCAGGGCGAGCGGAGGGGGAGAATGCATGCTATTTTCGTCGGGGTTCATGTGGAGCAGATGCACCCGTCTTTCGGCAATTATTCAGGAACGAACAGTGTTCCGCGAGCTCGAATCTACCCGACACAAGCTCAGGGATTCTCAAATCTCGAGCTGGTCGGCTCCTGCACGTAACACGATACTCTCGCTCGCAACAAACACCCTGAAACTCATTCTGGAACGAATTCCGCCCGACGACGACCGACGCAAATCTGGACGCTGGAAGGAAGCCTGGAACAAGCAAAGCACCACTCGGGGAATTACAACCTTGAGCTGGACGCCTGCTAGACTGGAGCCTGCGTCACTTTTCTCGCGAGTCCAGCCTGTATCTCACGAGGTCCGCGATCTTCAGAGAACAAACCGCAGAAACGATCGGGTCCTCCCACTGCTCCTCGACACGGCGCCCCTCCAGGACCGAGCGCTCTCCCATTCAGTCTCACGAGTGAAGGGCATGAATTGCGCTATCTATACACTGCTCCCGTCCCCCACTTAGCTCCCAAGTCTCGTTAACACTCATTTTAATTACGATTCATTTGATTCTGATCCCGCCCAGTTCTGCTGCCACTCTTCGAATTTACCCTTGTCGTGGCCTCTCTGCGCGCATGCACCCGCAGCTCGAGAATGGCAGGAAATGTCAAGCACAGTGCCTCCGGTCTGCCCGGACTTCTGCGCATCGGCCCCCGAGTGAATGAATCTGCAGCATGGCCTCGAGCGGACCTACGAGCGGGGCGGTCCTCGGCCTCCGACCGAATCCTACCACGCGGCCTGACGCTCCCCAGCCGGAGCTTTATGCGTCCGTCAGAAGGCTCGGCACCGCAGAGTCGTGCGTCCTTCGTTCGGGTCAGGCTTTGGAAGAGAAGGCGAGTGACGTATTGCGGTGAAGCGCTTCCGGTGCGCGCCATTTGGCACTCCACGTGGACCCGGAGATCGTTGACGCAGGCCAGTCCCCCGCGTGCGACCGCATTCCGGCGGTTCTGGTCCTCCCGCCGGCTGGAAAGCGGCCGTTTTCCTTCGATTGACTCCGTTAATCTTACGTCCGTCACGAGGTGCGGTTGAGGTGAGGTGAGGTGCGTCGAAGAGGGACCGTCACCTGAGCCGTCTGCCCGGGGCGGGCGGGCGGCCACCTGCCTCCGGGGGGTCACCTCTCGAAGGACGTGAGTTGGGTGACGAAGTTCTTTCGAGGCCGGAGCCTTCGCAGACCGGGGTCACTGGGCGTTACCGGTCAACGAGGAGCACCGCGGCACGCGGCTCCGGATCGAGGACCCCACACATGGAGACCGTCAGCAAGACAAGAATGCGTTCGGATGACGTGGCAAAGTGCAGATCTTCTGGGACCTCCTCCCACTCTGCGCGAATGCCAACTCGGCCTTTCAATCATCATTACGCCAGGTGACATGCGCAAAAGCGAATGTGGCCTCCATGATTTTCTCCGCGAGCGCTTCCCGCTCGATCCTCCAGTCCTCCTTCCGACACCCGCGCGTGTGATTTGCCCCGAGAATGTCCTCCGGTTTCCTGCGAGATTCTTTTACTATTTTCCGTGTTAGGTGGCGTCCCGGTGGCATCCCCATCGGCCCTTCGGTCAGGCACCGAAGGGCCGTGCTGGAGGCGTTTGCTTCGAACGATATTAACTAAGGGTCGCAGCGGTAACATTCTCAGGTCTAACGGCTGAGGACTCCCGTTCATTCTGTGTTTACGGCAGTGAAGGAAATCCGGTCGATACCTCGTAGGATCAAATAGAAGTTCTATTAGAGTTATATGGAAAAGTAGGCTTAGACGTATACTCTATAGTCGAAGTAGAGTCTGTTGGTACATCGACGATAGTGTACTGCGCATGTATTTTTTATGTATACCGTTATCCTTTGCATCGCCGTGATTTGATGAGCATAACTTGTTATAATTGTGCTTGCTAGTAAATATTGAATCCACCATAAAATTTAATTGCTCATGATGTTGTTTGTCTAGGCTTCCGCTGGTGTGGTTACTAAACTATTCTAACTACATCATGTATACACATGATGACTAAGGAATGAATAGATATGAACCATTATAAAATATTTATAATAATTTTATTTGGAAAAAATTTGGCGACTGAAAAATATTTCATATTTAAAAAGAATTTAGGATAATTTTTATTTTGAATGAATATATTTCAAAGAATTTGAGATGAAAATAATGTAAAAATCTCATGTTGATCAATAGCATTCTTCTACAGCCGAAATCTCGGAACAAATCATTATATTTGATTTGTCATTAAAGATGATAAGACAAATCAAATCATTTGATGTCATCCTTCGCAATACTCACTTCTTCAACGACCCTGCAAATCCTGTAGTATCCTCGTGGCAGTAGGATGTGGTTCTGTGTAACCCCGATGTGCCAAGATATTAAAATTATTGTACTGTCTGGGTTTCAACTGACTATACAGTAACCTTCTCAATCGGGGCTGGGGACCGCGCGTGTAAGATTATACACAAAACGATAAATGATTATGGTCGTGTTTCGGGTTTAGAGTCATGGCTGAGAATACACATATCACACGCTAATTCCAAGTAATAGTTGAGAAGGCCCACATGGATAAATGACTTCCAAATTAATACATTTCCGAGAATGATCTATGAAGAGATAATTTTAGACATGACAAGAAGAATCCAAGCAATTGAGTTTCCCGGAACTAATGTGAGAAACTAAATCTGTTAATCACAAAAGGACGAAACGGACTGAATTTTCTATTGTTTATAATGTTGCAAGAATTCCTCTGATTGTCGTCTTACTAAACCCAGTCCTTGAGACAACACCTCAAACCCACTCTCTCCGGTGATCTCCTCTTTGATGCAGATTTGAATGTAAACTGGATCATTCTTACGGAATAAGCCCACTTCAACGCCGCTGAAAGGCAGATTTGTTGCCATATTCTATTCGTGAAACAGCTGAAAAAAAAGCAGCTGTTTCACGAATCTAATACACGTTCTCAAGGAACGTGTAAAACTCATGCAAACCTTTCGCAGGAGAGTAGAGTATCCAGTAACTCGTGATTGCGGACTGGTGCCATGCAATGATTGAAGAACGACAATTTTCAAGAACCTTTGCCTACATCTTAACATTGTTACTCTAAGAAGCTCTAAATTCATCTCGAAATCGCTGAGAGGCAATTCTATTATCATGGCTTTTATTATCATGTTCGATTATGCAATGCAATGTAATATATTTTTCTTAGAAAGTGGAAAAAATACACTAAAGCTTTACTTACTAAGTGATAAATACAGGTAGTATAAATGATGAAATTAAGAGCGAGTCTTTTATAATGTTTGTAATAAATTAATTTAGAGCGATTATATTTCATATTCAGATAAAGGAATCAAAATTTCCAATCAAAAATATAAAGAGCATTATTTCAAAATTCTTTGAAATAATTCAATTCTAAAAATTATTCCTAAAACAGTTTTAAAATTTTTGGAATGAAGAACTAAAATATATGAGAGTTCTAGTACAAAAATGTTCCATATTAATTTTTTGACAAGGCATGATTAGACAATTTAAGAATGAAAAACATGAATAATTTGAAAAAAAACTGATGTCTTCATAAAGCACTTATCTATGAAGTTTAGCTATCTTATTGCTGATAATCATATAGATTTTTTATACTAGAATCTGGGCTACTGCGATAAATTTTAACAATTTCAAGACCTTGGTTAAGTATCATGAAGGTTTTTCGGCAAAGTGTTCATCTGCTTCTAAAATAAAAATCTAGCATGTAAAGCAATGTATATAATGCTGCATGAAACAAAAAAAATTATTTATTCATCAATGGAACTTGGCTAAATTTAATACTGGAGTCCACTGTTGTATTAAGAATTGTTTTTTAAACATTGTGTGACTAAAGATGTAATTTAGTTACATCTTCAGAAGATTCTACATTCTTCATCATCCAACACTAAGAATTTAGAATATTGATAAAGTCTAAAATATTTGAATATAAAATTTCAATCAATGGTTTTTGAATCATATTTTATATTCAAGCTTGATTTGTAATTTTTTTGATTCAATTTGTTTTTTGAATATCTAATAAAAATTTCGATTCCAACACTTATGATATTTAAAATGATTTTACAATTTTTATTTATTTGAAAATTAATATATAATTCAAATTCTAAAACTATATGATTGATTTCTAACTTATTTGCAAGATTTTAATCATCCTAATTCCATTCATATCATTCAAAAACATCAATAACATAATGATAATATACATATTATTCAATTTAATAATTGTTACTAATCATTAAAATTATTTCATCTTTGAGTTTAATGGATATTATTTAAAAAATATTATTCGAAATAGTTCTTTAATTAAATATTCATATGATCTAAATGTGAAAACTAAGATTTATTAAAATATATATGTTTCAACTCCTATAAAATCTAAAGCTGAATTTTAACTTAAAACTTCTAATTTAATTTACAATTTGATTTTTCATCATGATTCAATTTTGTGTAAATTAAATCAAAATAATAATTTATTTTCTTAAATTATTTAAAAAATGTATTTTGGATTTTTTAATCATTTAAAGAATTAATGAAAAAATTTAAGTATCATGAACTAATTTTATGTAATTATTTAAAATTCGATTTATATAAAAATTTTACCAAAATTCTACCCAAAAAAAATTTATATAACATGTTGTCATTATAAAAATGTTCACTAAAGTATCATGACCATATGACTTTTTGCAAACTGACATATTACTTCATACAAACATTGTTCAGGCCTTGCCATTATGCATACCATTAGGTCGGACTGACTGCTAAGTTAGTCGCTAAAGGTGAGCCAGAGTAGTTGGCTTAGAGATGATGGAGCCCCAAATCTTGTCTTTTCTACCTATTCTCTCTAGTTGTCTATTAGAATCCTCGCTGTTCTTGCTCTTGTTGTCAAGTTTTCTTTTCTCGTAGATCCAACTCTCATGAGCCATGTCCGTTGAGAACTTGATAGGTGCCAAATGCAAGAAACCTGCCTCAAAGTTGTAAACATCTTTAGTAAGTTAGAACTAAAGTAGAGGTTACTCTAAATGATGATATAGATACTTTAACGTGCACTAGTCGTAGCTGCCACGTCAGCGATCCGCGCGCTTGATATGTAGAGAGTATGTGTGTTAGTTGACATGGACTCGGAAGCGATGCGTGTGCTTGTTAGGTTTATCCGCCATGTCATCCATCCACTAGAAGTTAGATGGATGGTGAGGATAAAATCTTATCTCTTTGTACTTGTTCGTGAGAGTTATATAAAGTAGAGGAGAACCATTGTTAATATCTCTCATCTTCAGAGTTTAAGTTCTATCTTTGAATAAATTTCTCTCTAAACCCTAGTGTTATATGATAAGATGGCTTTCGTCAGCAGTGTTATAGACATTGAGAGTAGTGAAAAATTTGCTGATATCTTGGGGATGTTCAAGTCATCAAAAATGTTATCATACACGTGAAAAATGAAGCCATTAGAGGTTGTTGTCTCTAAGTGTGGAAGTACAAGTGTTTGTCAAATCGATACAACTCTTCTTTCACTCTAGAAAGTATCATCTATTCACATTATTTGCTATGAATATCATAGTTTCTTTTGGATCTTTCCATCACATCACATGATGTTCAATGTTTCTAATCCTCATCTTTTCTGTTAGTCACAATCATAAAAAATGTCATTCCACCAACAAAACATTTAACTTTGAGAGACTAAGTTCATTGTCAAGAGATTTAAGGCCACAAAGTACGCGGAGATGGAGATGAATAATTTC